CTGAATCTGAATCTGAATCTGGTGAGTTCTGAAAGAGAATTCTCATAAAAGCTTGACATTTTTCCTCAAAAGAGTTTGCTGTATATGATTCATTCTGAAACTCATATTCTAAGGCTGGAAGTTTTGCTACACTTCTTGTTTTAGTATAGTTAAAAGCTTTAAAAACTTCCTTCTCTTGTGCTTCTTCAAGAAATTTATTCCAGCAGTCTGTTTTAGCTCTTTTAATATCTGAAAAATATTCATTTCTGACAGCTTTGAACTCTTCATCAGATATTACATCATTCTTCCAATTTCTTCTAGCAGTAGCTAATTCTTTCCTTTTAGATGAGATATTCTCATTCCACCAAGGTTTTGAATACTCAGAAGATTTTCTCTTTGAAATATTATCTCTAACACTTGTTAGAATAATAGATGTAATAAGCTTCACTCTATTCTGATATAGAAGGATTAAATCTGCTTATACATCAATAAGTAAAGAGAATGATTTGCAAGACCTCATCTGAAAGCATTCTGTATGTCATACAGGACCTGAAAGCAGAGAAAACCAAGATAAAGAATATATGAGAGAACAAGCATATGAAAAAGCTTCTGAAGAAGCATGAGAAGATCTTTTAAACAGATCTTTCATCAGAATTGCTGCTGGAATGAGAATTCATACATGAGATTGACATGAGAGACACAAAACCAGTCAATCAGAATGCATACTCTCTGTCACAAACACCTCTCAAAGAACAGAAGTGTCAGATCACAGACCTTCTAGAACATAGTGTCATACAATTCTCATCAAGTGCGTGGGGCTTTCCACTTCTATTCATGAAAAAGACAGATGAGAAGTGATGAATGTGTATTAATTATCAAGCACTTAATAAGCTTACAATCAAGAATGAATATTCACTGTCATAAATTCAACAACAGTTGAATACAGTTGAAAACACCTGATATCTATTAAAGATTAATCTTCTCTCAGAATACTGACAGATTCATATAGATGAACTGTCAGTCCTGCAAACTGTGTTTAATACATAATGAAGAAAGTTCAAATTCCTGATAATGTCATTCAGTCTAATAAATGCACCTATCATCTTTCAAATGATGATGAATACAATTCTTCATAAACAGAATAAAATCTCATATCTCATATATCTCAATGACATTCTAGTCTTTTCAAACTCATACATTAAACATCTGAAGTATCTTGATGAAGTGCTTATAACTCTGACAGAGTATAAGCTCTATATCAAATCAACAAAGTGTGTGTTTGAAACAGAAGAGTTGAAGTTCATAGAACATGTAATAAGTAATGACTGTATACACCTCATTTCAGAGAAATTGAATGTCATAGTGAATTAACTGCAAGTGAGAAATATATATCATGTACAACAGTTTCTTGAGTTAATCTCATATTACTGTAGATTCATCAAGGATTTCATATAAATATCTGCATCACTCTCAGATCTCTTAAGAGAAATGAATGCAAATCTGTAAAAGAAGAAGTTTCATTCAATTATCTGAAATACCACATGCAAAGAGGCTTTTCTCACACTGAGAAAACATGTAACAACATTCTTAGTGCTTATTCAATCAGATTATGATAAACCTTTCTATATTAAGACAGATGCATCTGAATAGACTATCAGAGACACTCTTCTACAGATGAGTAAGAATAGCAAGCTGCATCTGATAGCATATAATAATAGAAAACTATCAGGCACTGAGCTCAATTACTCAGTGTATGAAAAGAAATTGCTAGCAATCAAGCATGTACTGATGTTATGAGATAGATATATCAACAACAGGCATATAACAACAGTGATCATAGATTATGAAAGTCTCATCTATCTACAATTAACAATAAAACCTTTCAAACACTTAGCACATTGAATCTCAGAGTTTCAAGTGTACAATCTTTATATTAAATATTAAAAGGAATTAAATACTATGATATCTGATGTAATCAGTCACAGACTCAATTTCATGAATGAGAATTCTGCAAACTAGGCACAAGAGAAGTTCACATTAAATACACTGAGAGAGTGTAAGAAATCAGAATAAGTGAATGCAATGATCTTTTACTTAAAGAATGACAAGATATTAGATGATAAGTATCTTATAAAAGTAGTAGAAGAGATGCTTCTGAACTTCAAGCTAAGAAAATTGAAAAATAATATTGTGCTTTACTGCAATCTAGAATATGCAGAAGCTCTCTATCTAGAACATTCATTTAGACATGACTTAATAACTCACATACACAAGGAATTCAGTCACTTAGAAAGCTCTGAACTCATGAGTATACTCAAATTAAGAGCATACTGATCAAGTATGACTGAGAATATTCAGGCATACACTTACAAGTGCCTGAATTACCAGGTCATGAAAGAATCTAAGAAAGAGTTAGAATGTGAGAAAGCATAATATCAGATAAAGTATATGATACAACTGTTCAAATAATGAGAAGTGAACCTTATAGACATACTACTATGAACATCAAATAAAAATTGATAAATAATCACTGCTATTGATTACACTACTGACTGGCCAGTTGTGAAAGCAGTTTCAGAGATAACAGAGAAGATAGTGACAAAGTTTCTACATAATGAGATCTATATCAACTATGAAATACTGCGTGAGATTCTAACTGATAACAGTGTGAATCTCATAGAAGAAGTGATGAGGCATTTCATGAGTCAGTTACAGACAAGATATCATAGAACAATATCATATCACTTACAGATGAATAGAAAAGTGAAACACTTGAATGAAATCTTGAGCAACATACTGATGAAATATCTAGTGAGCAAGTCTATAAGATTATGAGATAAATATCTCAGTCAGACACTATTAGTCATATGAATTCAGCAGCATGCAGTCTTCAAGTATTCAATATTCTATCTGTTGTATGAATTGCATTCACACATTTCAAAGAATGCTTTGAAAAAGGTGAGAAAGAGAACAGCAGTTACAGATGCAGCAGTAGCACTTGCAGATATGACAGTCACAGACACAGAATCAAGATTAAAAGAGATCAGTCATACACATGCAAAAGCTAACAAGTTACTTCTAAGCTGAGCAATTCAATCAAAAAGAATACAAGACTCACTAGTTAAAGAATCAAGTCTTAAGATAAGAATATGAGTTCTTATATGCAATGAGAGCTGTGAAAAGTTTCAATCTAGATGATTTGAGCTCTATAAAACACTTAAATCACATTCTCTGAGAATATACACATTGAAAGAATCAGACAGACAGATCTTATACAATTTAATAAATAATTCACATCTTATGAAGATAAAGATGTAAGATCTGAGCAGATTATAATTATTCACAGCACTCTCATCAGTGTTGAAGAAGAAGAGACTTATAATTGAAAAGTCTCACAAAGTAAGAGAAATCATAGATACTTACAAATCAGATGATCTCACTAATTTCAATCTTTTCACAATTATAAGAAAAGAATGAAAAGAAATGAAGAAATCAGATAAATATTACACTTTAATAAGTGATGAGACTGTAGCTGATTATATAATAACACACTGCAGACAGCAGACATAACATAGTAAAGAGCAGTCTCAAAGCAACAGACTCATACATGAGTCAGATCACAGAAGAAAAAGAAATTCAGAGTTGAATTTAACTGTTTATATCAGTTCAATTATGAAGATAACAGAGGATAAATCATCTGAAACATTCACAGATATGTGAGATCAAGTCATCTCAATCTCTGAGAACACTCAGAGATTGAGTGAGATTAGTTTCAATGAGTCATTCACTGTAGTGATCTGAGTGAGTGAAGAGAGACAGTATAATGTATAAGACAGAATCACAAAAGATGAAAGCTGCTGAATCTAGTTATGAAACACTGTATTATATAGAGATTATATAAGAGTAGTGACTAGTAAACAAAGAAAAAGTATAAGAAAAGAAAAGAAATAATGAATTGATTATCAACTGTAAGAATCAGTTATAAAAGACAAATATTATCATACACATCTTATTCATTTTCATATATTACATATTTAATCTATTTTCAATGCCATGCCATCTGAAAAACATTAAAAACAAAGAAAATGTTAAAACTCAAGATCTGTAAGAGATTCAAGAACTATAAGCTGCTCTTATAATAATACTATATATATCTCTGATTCCTCTACTACTCTGTGTATGATATTAATGTCATTTATCACAAGATTGACTGAAATGCCAATATAGAAATGTATATGTATATGTGTAGAAAAATTGAAGAACAGTATGAAACTCACAGAACTAGAAGTCAGAGCAGAGAAAGCAGAGATGAAAGAAATGAAAGAAGAAGAAGACACAGAATCAGATAAATAATAGTAGAAGTCATCTGAGATTAAACACTTATAACTCAGTGTGTATATAATCTTTTCTACAGAGAAGAGAGAGAAAGTAACAGAAGAAGCTTAAGAGCAGAAGAGAATAGTCTCAGCAGTATTATCATCTTTGATTAAAATAGTCTCTGATGCTGAAGTAACTAAGAACTATTATTAGTATACAAAACTGTAAAAGCAGAGATAATAATTACTGAATAAATATCTGCTGATCTTAGAGTTGTACACATAATTACAACACACACAAGGCTTCTCAGAAAGAGAGAGAGAGACACAGAGAAATGCAGAAAGTAGAATACAGTGTATAAATAGTTCATTTTCATGATGATATTTTGGACAAGATGTATAAGTCTCACACTCATGAGTGTAAAAGAGTACAACATTCATATTCCTGTTTCTAAAAATACAGATATTCTTCATCTACATCACAAAGTCAGATAATATATATCAGAGAATAGACTGATACAGATCAATCATTCTGAAGATATTCATTAGAGTAGATATATCTATAATATTGAATTTAACAGTTGTAAAAAGTTTCTTAATATCTGTGAATATCACAAATTCATATATAATAAAACTCATAATAATTTTCTCTAAGAACAGGAAAATCAGTGTTAGAAAGAAAAGATGAAAAAGAAAAAGACTTACAATCTTGACACTGTTGAGAGAGAGAGTGATTCTCTAATATAAATGAATAATTATCTTATCATGACTATTAAAAATGAATATAATAATCAGTGTCTGTGACTGAGCTTCAGATAATCATATTATATACAGTCTTCATACAATAAATTGTTCTAGAAGTCAGTAAGAAAGACAGAAGTATACACACTGATAAATATAGTTTATTAAGTCTATATAACATCTTCTTGAAATAGATAGAGCTGATAACAAAAGCAGAGACAGTAAAACCAGAGAGAGCAGAAGTAGTGAGAGTGAGAGTTATAGAAACAGAGATAGTAGAAGTGAGAGAATCAGACACAGAAACAGATGTAGAAGATTGAGAGAGAGCAGCAGAGAAAGAAACAGTGATAGAAGAGATAGAGAGAGACATGAGAGACTCAGTCATACATAGCACAGACAATTTCTTCATTATTATATTCTTTAAGTTCTCAATTAATAATTCAATATTGAGTACACTATCATCAGTGAATATGAATCTGTCAACATGTGAAGATTCTATATAAATAAAAACAAACATCAGCATCTGTGTTCATACAAAATCATGCTAGAAAACATGATCAGAAGCTGCTGAGAAGAAAAACAGTAGAGAGTGTATAAGAAGATGAAGAAGATGTATTATTCATGATAATATATTCTGACAATCATTAGAAGATAAACAAGTTCAGTCACATTTCACAATGTATTACACTTACTGCTAATGAACTGCTCAGTATAAGTACTACAATAACACTTGTTATGAGAATGAGAGATCATCATCAGAAACATGTACAATGTAATAGATAAACAGATAGAAGATGTTAAACAGAAGAAGAGACAGTAATCTTAAATGAGATAATAATGACATTTGATAATGATAATGATGAAGAAGATGATTGAAGAATGAGAAAAGTTAGTGAATGAGTGATGTAATATAGTGAAAGTTTCTTTGTAAGAATGTATATAGAACACTAGCTGAATCAGAGATAGATCACATAATCATGAACACTAGTAGCACACTAATCCGCATGAAGCTAGAGCAGATGTCATAGTCACATGAGCATGACTGAATCTGATGAGAGAGAATGTAGTTCAGAAGAATGTACAACTGTCAGATAATAATGCAGCCACTTCTGAACTTGCTTACAAATGTAAAGGGGCCATAGCGGCCACTAATTAATTTAACGTACAATATATAAGAAGCCGGTGTACGTCTGTAATCGTACGCTGGGCAAGCAACCTTTGAATCACAACTGCAGTGATTCACTCTCTGTATATATAACTGAGAGTTATAACTTTCTTACACTGCACAGCTCTTTCTGAGATGCTGCTGTCAGTTTGCAACTCACACAGTCTCTCAGTTCAGCACACACTGTGTATATACCGCTCTGTGTACTGAGACTGTGTTAGTTATTATAACCTGATATGATACTTGCTTTTCACAGGCCATGTTTTGTTTGATTAAGAGGAGAAAAGAGAGAATATGACTACTATTTTATTTGAGAGAAAGATAAGGAATTGAATCTGTAGAAGATAATTTGATTTCTTCTGTATTTAAAATTTAATTAATCTATACTTTTCAATTTGAGAGTTTCTGAGAGTGTTTTAATAGTTTTCATACTAGCTTGAAATTAGTGATTGATTGAAGAAGAGAAAAGAGAGAAGAAAGAAATAAGAATAACTTATCTTTATAATATGAAAATAGAGAATTACTGCAATTATTTATTCTAGCAATAAAGATCTGTTTTCTACATGTCTTTCTGATACAGATTATATGATAACTGTATACAAAGAATATCAACAGTGCATGTATTGAATGAAGATGATATTGCTGTACAATACTGTAGCTGTTTCTATACATCTCTAAAAGCTCTTAATATTTTCTTTAAGTCTCTCTATATTTGATAAGTCAGTAATATATTTCAATGCACTCTCTCTTTTATTATTATCATTATTATTATCATCATCACTATCATCATTATTATCATTATCACTATTATCACTATTATTATCATTATCACTATTATTATCATTATTATCATTATCATTATTCATATCATTTCTGACTGCCTCTTCTCTCTTTACCTCTCTTCAATACTTATTAAAATCAATTATATTATTTCTCTTCAAATATTCTGCAGTCCTGCAGACCATCAAGACATGTGAGTACTATCACAGATTGAAGAGTGAGAAGAAGAAGACATTCAAGTGAGAGAAGACAGATTGTAAGATATATTATAATACCTTGAAGAGACTTTGTAAGAGAGTAGAATAATAACAATTTTAAGTAATACTTCTGATAGATTTAGACTGAACTAAGTATAGAAATAATGTGAATGACACTGTCTGTGAGAGATTGAAAAAGAAGACAGTGAAGAGTCTTATACAGTAGTAATGAGATCAGAAGAAGTTCTGAGAATAATTTGAGATCAAGATGAAGAGAGAGAGAGAGAAGAAGAGTATTACTATAAATAAGCAGTGATAGAAGAAGATTGAGAGAGTGTTAAAGTAAGAGACAAAGAAGTCAAAACTGGTAAGTTTTTTATTTATTGAGAGATAATAATTTTTGATAATACTTCTATTCTCTAATTAATTAGTAGAAGCTGACAGAGAAGAAGAGAATTGAGATCTTGTTCAGATCTTAAATGTGTTTTATAATTCAGAATATTGAGAAGATAGTTCTGATCTCTGAGAATGTCAATCTGCTTACTACTGAGATGAAACCTGAGACAGCAGATCAGAAAATGTGAGATTTTGAGATACAGAGTAATTTGACTGAGAGAGAGCAGTGAGAACTCTTTTCTGAGAAGATAGTAAAGAGAGATTTTAAGATGATTATCATCTCAGATAAGAAGAAGAAGAAGAAGAATAGAAATAAGAAGTGAATTATAAAGAATTATAAGAAGAATGAGAAAGAGAAGAAAGATAATGAGTAGAAACAGTTTTTTTCTTTTTATATTAGTTAGTTGTAAGTTCATAATTATTAATAATTGAAATTAATTTGAGTTTTCAAAAATTATTGTACAAGTTGTAATCAATGTTACAAATAATATATATATATATATTTAATTATCATGATTCATAAATCACTATAATGTATAAGTATCAATATTTTTTCAACATTGATATTTATAATATTAATATATTTTTAATGATATTATCTGATAACACAATTTGATAATACTCTCTCTTTCACAATATTAATATATTTCAAGAAATATGATAGAGATTAATCAAGATTATTTAATTACTTTTATATATTAATAATATTTAATCTGAGTTAGTACTAAAATTATAACTAAGCTAAGAAAGAAGATTATTTTCTCTTATAATAATTCTTCTTATATACATCAGTGATCAGTTATTATCTTTATTAAAAATAAATTATTATCTTTCTTAAATTCTTATCATATCTTCTGAATTCACTTCTTTTACTTCTTTTACTTCTATTGAAGATTTATACACTCTTTAAGAAATCACTGTGAATCACAATGTCTATGTTATTTACAATTCAACACAGAATACTCTCTTTCAATTAGACTGGCCGGCGGGATCATGAATTTCACATTTGATCTCATTTGATCTGGTCTTATACATTTTTTAGCGTGAGTCTCACCAGGACCAAGCATCAAAAAAATCTGAAAATGAATCATTTCTGAGAGAAATGATGTGAAAAATGATCAGATTTAATGCAAGAACAGTGAAATAGAAGTAATTTCTCAGAATAAACTGTGAAAGATGATCATTCTTTCAAAATCAGAATGAAACTGAGACTGAAGATCAAATTCAGTCTCATTCAGTTCATTCAGTGATTGCTTGTATAATCAGAATTTGATAACAATTATTGATAATACTCATGAAACAACTAAATACATTCTTGTGCAAGTTTATTCTTCACTTTCTCATGAAAACTACACTTCTCTGATATATTGTGATCAGAGGTATTAAACTGTCTGATAATTTCATGTTTTATAATCATGAGTTTCTTGATTGTTTCTTCTTGTAATTGTCTCTGATAATAGTGATAAATATCTCAGCTTGAGTTGAACTTTCACTTCATTTTCATCTCTGTCAATGAAATTATTAGAATATTATACATCATTAGTGTAATAGTTGAATATATACTCTCAACAATTTTCTATAACTCTAGAATTGATTTAGTATGTAAATTCATCAGATTATCTTGAAGATAGCAGTCAAATTCAGTTTTACAAGTATATAGTTTTGCCTGATTTTCAGTTGCAATTAATATATACAAGTTCTGTTTCAAAGTTAGTATTATAGTTCTTTGTGATATGAAGTGTTATCAAAGATCATTACTTACTAGAGAATTGTATTTCACTGTCTTCATATCTGTAACATCTGCTCATTCAAATCTCTGATAGTTAGTATTGTAGTAGTCTCAGGCTAATTTAATATATAAGTCTCATTTCTTCTCTGTTCAATCTTGAGAAGTGTAGATATTAACTTAACAGAAAAGATCTAGTAGAGCTGCTATAGTATAGTACTCTGTAAAAGATTGTTCAGTTTTACTGTAATAATATGCCTGTTTATCTCTTACAGTAATAATAGCCTGTGCTATAGCATTATTTCAGACTGAATTTCTTTTTAAGTGATTCAACTACTTCTCAAGATGAGTAAATAAACTGTTATACACTTATCTGACTGACTACAGCATTGATGTACAAGTGATTGAGACTGTCTTTGTTATCTTATAAAACTGAAACAGTAAATCAATCATATATTTCAACTAAGTTTACTTCATATCAGAAAGTTTCAATGTCTGAATCTTTTTCTAATCAGAGTATTGTACTTAATGATTAATTATCTAATGCAATCAAAGAGTGTGAACAGTTATCTTATATATTGAACTTTATTATATTCTAACATTCTGTATCATATTCAGTGATGTGACTGATTTATTCATTTATTAAATATCATGAAATTGTTGTTATTATTTAGAAGAGATATAAATCACATTAACAATGTTTCAAATCTGTGATATTTAAATTATTAGTCAATCTATTCAAAATTAACAGTAGTATTATCAAAAAGTGTTATCAAAAAGTAATATTAAAAAGTGTTATTAAAAAACATTATCTTTTACAAAGTGAATGCAAAAGTTACTTGAGTAATCACTTTCATCTCATTCTCATTTCAAGAATCAGTCATCTCATTATTCATTATCTTGATATTAAGATTCTTTATCAGTGTTTACATTACAAGTTGAATCACATGAGCAATGCAGAGAATATAATCTTGTTTATTATTTCAGAAATGCAAAGTCAATTTTTACTTTAAGCTCTTTATCATAGTGTAGTTATTCACAGTATTATCAGTTATAATTGTAAGAAGACTGAGACTAATATCTCAATAGTTATTTTTAATCACTGTCATTAATATCTCTGTTATATAATTCGCAGTATGACTACTAATCAATGATTCAAATTCAATTAATGTCTCTTGATAAGTTCAGTTCTCATCAATGTAATAATATATAACTCTTATAAATGCAAGATTATTTGTACTAGTTTATACATTCACTATGAGAGACACTCTTCAATGATTCTTCAACTCTGATTGTAGATATTGTATATTAACTTTATAGTGTGTCTCAAGATTGAACTGCAGACATGATTGATATAAAATATGAAGATTTGAATTAAGCATTTGAAGAAGTGTTCAGAATTCAAAGTTTTCAATTGATTGAAGAGAAAGATTCAGAAATATACATATA